ACACGAGAATGGCAAGAACTAACACGGAAACGGCTAGAACGAACATTAACCCAGGTAGAACTAACATATTCAATAGATCCAACACTTAAACTAACATTATTCACTTGCACTTGGCTGTGAAGGTTACCGAGATATTATAGGTTTGACTGCATTCATTGTTTTTGCATAGTTCCCAAGGTTGAATAGTTAACTCACCTTGCAAAAGTGCAGTCCCAAGGAGGAGAGTTATGATAACCTGGTCCGGAACCTATCCCCACATCCCACGCGGCAACATCACCATCCCCAAAGCCTGTTCAACCCCAGGATAGTATTGATTACCTTTTCGGCGCAATCTTTTTCGGATCTCCCCATCGCCGACTCTCTGTAGACTCTTCCTCATTTATTTGTAAACCCCATACTTTTACCCTCTCCCCTACCCCTTCAAGTTCCCCTGTATATATGGCGTTGTAAAATCATGGCTAGTTCCTGTACATCCGATGAAGGTCATGGCCTGCCTGGGACGCACGCTGATGTGGATCTTGGATATCCCTCACGCTGATGAAGATGTTATCCCCATTGTCTTTGCTCTTAGTTCCATCAGTGGGTGAATATACCTGGCTCCCTTCAAAGAGTTTGTACATTAACGCCCAGTTAAGATTCATAAGCGCATGGAATACGATCAATTCAGACGGGTCAGTACGTGAATCACCTAGGAAGGCATGCGAATGCTAGCAAAAAGATAGTCCTCTGGCTTACGTTAACACTGTATTGCTATAGAGTGTTAACGTATGCCAGAGGACAATTCTCTCCAGCATTTGCATGCCTCCCCAAGTGATTCACGCATGACCCTTCTGAATTGATCGTATTCCATGCGCTTATGAATCTTAACTGGGCGTTAATGTACAAACTCTTTGAAGGGAGCCAGGTATATTCACCCACTGATGGAACTAAGAGCAAAGACAATGGGGATAACATCTTCATCAGCGTGAGGGATATCCAAGATCCACATCAGCGTGCGTCCCAGGCAGGCCATGACCTTCATCGGATGTACAGGAACTAGCCATGATTTTACAACGCCATATATACAGGGGAACTTGAAGGGGTAGGGGAGAGGGTAAAAGTATGGGGTTTATAAAATAAATGAGGAAGAGTCTACAGAGAGTCGGCGATGGGGAGATCCGAAAAAGATTGCGCCGAAAAGGTAATCAATCCTATCCTGGGGTTGAACAGGCTTTGGGGATGGTGATGTTACCGCGTGGGATGTGGGGATAGGTTCCGGACCAGGTTATCATAACTCTCCTCCTTGGGACTGCACTTTTGCAAGGTGAGTTAACTCTTCAACCTTGGGAACTATGCAAAAACAATGAATGCAGTCAAACCTATAATATCTCGGTAACCTTCACAGCCAAGTGCAAGTGAATAATGTTAGTTTAAGTGTTGGATCTATTGAATATGTTAGTTCTACCTGGGTTAATGTTCGTTCTAGCCGTTTCCGTGTTAGTTCTAGCCATTCTCGTGTTAGATAACGCAAGGATTTAGTTTAAATGTGGGTTCTAATGCCTATGTTAGTTACGCAAGGTCTAGTTTAAATGTGGGTTCTAATGCCTATGTTAGTTCTAGTTGTGTTCTAATGACTATGTTAGTTCTAGATTAAATGTGATAGTTCTAGTTGATCTCGTGTTATTTCCACCTCCAGATAACTTTAAGTTTTGGTTCTATTGGATATGTAAGTTCTAGCTGCCCTCCTGAATAGTTCTACCCCTTCTCGAGTTAGTTCTACTTCGTGCTGGCGTTATTTCTAGCACAAGTGTTTGTTCACGCGGCCATGTTAGCCCTAGCCCACTCCTAGTTAGTACGCGAGCTTCCCTCCTGTTAGTTCTAGCCCATCTCGAGTTAGTTCTACTTCGTGCTGGCTTCATTTCTAGCACAAGTGTTTGTTCTATTGCCCATGTTAGGCCTAGATCACTTCTTATTAGTTCTAGCTGTCCTACTATTAGTTCTACAATATCTCGAGTTAGTTCTACTTCGTGCTGGCGTTATTTCTAGCACAAGTGTGTGTTCTGTTGGCCATGTTAGCCCTACATAACCGCTTGTTTGTTCTAGCTGTCCTCCTGTTAGTTCTATCCCTTCTCGAGTTAGTTCTACTGCGGGCTGGCGTTATTTCTAGATAGCACAAGTGTGTGTTCTGTTGGCCATGTTAGCCCTACCTAACTGCTTGTTAGTTCTAGCTGCCCTCCTGTTAGTTCTATCCCTTCTCGAGTTAGTTCTACTGCGGGCTGGCGTTATTTCTAGATAGCACAAGTGTGTGTTCTGTTGGCCATGTTAGCCCTACCTAACTGCTTGTTAGTTCTAGCTGCCCTCCTGTTAGTTCTATCCCTTCTCGAGTTAGTTCTACTGCGGGCTGGAGTTATTTCTAGCAAAAGTGTTTGCTCTGGTGGCCATGTTAGCCCTACCCTCACGCTTGTTAGTTCTAGCTGCCCTCCTGTTAGTTCTATCCCTTCTCGAGTTAGTTCTACTGCGGGCTGGAGTTATTTCTAGCAAAAGTGTTTGCTCTGGTGGCCATGTTAGCCCTACCCTCACGCTTGTTAGTTCTAGCTGCCCTCCTGTTAGTTCTATCCCTTCTCGAGTTAGTTCTACTGCTGGCTGGCGTTATTTCTATCACAAGTTTTTGCTCTGGTGGCTATGTTAGCCCTAGCTTACTTCTCATTTAACATGAAAATACTTACAACACACAACAACAACGTAGTTGTCTGTAAATGTACACGCAAAACAATTAACAACATATTAACAACATGAACATACTTACAACATTGAATACACAACAAAAACCTTGGAGAAAATTAAAATAATATTTACAAAAAAGGTGAATCGCGTGCATACAAAAGAGCAGCACAAAACCTTGCTCTATATTTTGCACAATCTCCTTTTGAAATTGTTATCGACCGTTTTTCGACAATGCTGTTAATGAATTCAATCATAAAGATCCCGCAATCTAACGTTCTGCATTTAAGGGAAAAATATTACAATATTGAAAATGACTGTGAAACAAAAAAATGAACAATTAAATTAGAAATGCATGAAACACTTACGGTCCTTGTTGTGGCACGGCAACTGACACAAGACCATGATGCTCCAATTTCCCCAATCCCCAATTACTCTCAATGAAACTCATAAACTTATTTATAAATTTCACAGCATCGGCGGTATAAATGGGGGAGTTGATTGAGGAGTAGTGATAGAATTTTGTCTCCTCTCTCACTAACTCTACCAGGTGCCAATGTCCGGAGCTGACAATCGGGATCAGAATTCTTTCACACTCCAAGAACTTCTGCTGAGAAACATTTTCCTTCATTCGTTTTGCCACCATTTCAAGATTTCCTTCTAGAAATGCTTGCTAAAAGATGCAATAATGTCAACATTGTGGGATAACATAATAATAATATCCACCAATTAGTGAAAAAAACAAGGATATACTTACTGCAAGCCAAGGTCTTGTGACATGTATCTTTCGATCATAACTATCACTTGTTTCAATCTTGTTACAAAGCCGAATAACAAATGCATCGATCACCTACAAAAATTACCATGAATGAATAAAATAGTTAATATAAATTATTTTATATACAACATCAAACAATCAATAACACAATTGTTTAGAACCTACATCGTCACTGAGTTCACCTCCCGTTAATAGTATATAAGCATCTAAGCGAGATACGCTTGCTTCGGCACACTTCCAAATGTACGTATCACTATATGCAAGTACATTGTGAGAAAATTGCTACTAGAATTAAGTAAATTCAAAGATTATTATTAGAATAAGTCAGTAACAGTTACCTGTTCATTCTCGATTGTAGAAAGTCTTCAATTAATTTGTTCTCATAATCAAACGCCAGTGCCTTACCTGGATAGTCTCTAGATGTAGGTATGAAGCCTTCTTCATTTTTGTACTTTTTTTCCCATCAGGACTATCCAATATCTGGATGACACGTCTCTTCTTTGTGCCTTCCTTTGGTTGATCTAGAGGCATATAAGGTGAAGTAACAGAGGGTCCATCCTTCCTCTCCCTCTTTCCGACAGCCCGTTTGATAGATGGCGTTTCTCTGTTATTCTCATTACCACCTTCATCTTTTTGAGAAACATCTCTATAGAGTCGAGAAGGCATATAATTAACAAAGAGTTACACAAGAATTATATGGAAAATATAAAAATTAAAATTGCAAGAAAATTTAAAAAACTAAACTCACCGAGCATCTTCTAAAATTCTCATGTCTCTTGGGCTCATCACAAAGTCATCACATAAATCGGCTTCCCCAGTTCCTTCCAAATTCTCATATTCCTTAGCTTCCATATCCTCTTTGATTTTTTTTTCTTCAGTTACATTTCCGTCATCCTCTTTCTCCTTGGTTTTTTTTTGGCATCTAGCACTACGCTCTTCTAATTCTCGTAATTCTGTAGTGAGCTCATTCAACTCGTACGTCTTCTCCGCAATTAAGAAAATTAATTCAGCTTTCCTTGATTCCTATTTGACAAAAAAAGCTAGTATTAGTACGTATACTATAGTTGCAAACATAGATACTAACAAAAGGGACATAAAATAATGAACTATTAGAGCAACGATATGTACAAATACTATTGGCGATGCCGTATGAATAAGAGGAGTATTCTCTTGGCCATTATCCGTAACCAACTTCGGGACTCTATATAATTTGTTCATAGTAGTCCTCCTCCACTTTCCAGTACTCTTCACACAAAAGAGCGGCGGTAACCTTTCAATATCTGAAGTGTACTCTAATTCCCCTACTTTTTCATAAAACCAAACCTACAAAAAAGAAACTACACATTAGCATGTGCATAAACAATAATCATTATCAAAATGAAAAGATATACAAATTAATATTCATGTAACTCACCAGTAAAACGGAGGAAAAACCACCCATGTACCCGGCATTTGAGCGCTGACCTAATTCCCGCATACTAAGAGACTTCTTTGATTTACTCATCTCTTTGCAAAGAAGAGTGAACACCGCATGGCACCAATTATATTTATGCAAAGTTGATAACTGCTCCGCATATCTAAACGCCCACAAGGGACATGTCTTACATGTCCGCGGGCATAATATGAAGCCGATAATGAAAGCCACAATAAGTTTCACACATATTATAGGGTCTTCATTAATCATATCTACAATCATCTCGGCCATTCTATCGCGCTTCCCCGAAATCACCGCCTTCTTTTCCTCATCGGCTTTCTTATAATTCTTTACAAAATAGGTGTAGATTGTATTAGCCGCTGCCCCACTCATTTTTATCGGAATTCCCTCCTTTGGCAATCCGGTAATTCGGTGAATATCATCTATACCGAACACACAATTTTTATTCCCAATCATGAATGAGCATTTATCAGGATTAAAATTTTGAATCAAGCAATCAATTGCTATTTGGTCATTGCTCAAGGATGTGGGTATATTGAGAAAGCTGTGAAAAGGTGTCGTCTGTAGGGATTTTAGGTGTCTTTCATCTAATTTTATTCGCTTATCAATTAAATCTCGAAAATAACACAAATTGGCCAGAATTCTCAAGTGTGTTATCTTAGCCCTACAAGAAAATTATAGTTCAGAAAGAGTTAAAAATTAAATATATTTGGGCAAATTAAGACGCATATTAACAAGTTTATTAACACAAACATTATACATCATGGCTTACAACAAAAATTATAATTCAGAAAGAGTTAAAAATTAGATATATCATGGCAAATTACTTACGAAGTTGGAGGATTATTGCATTTAGAAGAGGTAGGCTTTGATTTTGAAGAATTCGAAGACGTCGACTCTTTCAATTTGTTCGAAGCCATGAGGGCAGACGTCGAGGGTTTGGTCGAGCTCCGGAGGCGGCGATACACCTGAGGGCTGAGCTCGAATGCCATCGGAGGCGTGGCTAATGACGAGGGCTGAGCTCGACGGCGAGGAGGAGTAGACGGCGCTGACCCGGCGGCGACGCTCAGCGGCGGCGATCTCGGGAGCTGGAGAGGAGGAGGGGAGGTGATGGTTTTGCACGGCTCAACGAATGGTCAAAACACAACGGGTTCACCCCAAAATTGGTGTGTTTGGATTTAAGAACGTGTAGATTAAGTTCAACGGATCGGATCGTAAAAAAAATTTAGAAAATGATGTGATTCTAGGCCGCGTCCTTAGGTGGGAGCCTAGGGTGTCACCTTAGATTCACTTTATCCCTGTGATTATTATAGTATATATGCTGATGTATATCATTATAATATATACTATATAAGTAAGTAATTAATTATTAGCTACTATATATAAATATTACATAATAACAAAATAATCAATAATATATATACATACATATATATATATATATAGTGTATAGTATACAGTATATTATTATATATTATATATATATATATATATATATGTATATACATATGATAATATATAATTGTATATTACATATATATTATATATAAGTATATATATATATATATATAGCCTACTATCTAGATATTATATTGAGTACAAGTAATAAACTATATTAAATATAATATATATACTATATCACTAAATAAGAAGGATATATATATAAGAAGTATACATATATATCATATACATATACTATAGTATATATTATATAGCACCATAATTTTTGTCTTAACAAAAAACAAACAAAACCTATATCTATATATCATATACATATATATATATAATGGTAATTAATCAACGTTCATACGTACCAATATATGCTAACTTTACATATACTGCGTATATTATATATATACATATATATACATACTATATATATATATATATATTATATATATATATACTATATTAATATATATATATAATATAGTATATATATATATATTATATTACTATATACTCGTACTCACTACTCACTATATTATGTACGCATATATATATCCATCATACATGTTTCTTACTGTACCTACTATTATACTATATGTATATACATATTACTTACTCACTCCATCATATAGTATATATTATATATATCCATATATACAGTACTAACATATATATGTAATTCTTATTTGATACTATATATATATATCCATACTTATACATATACAATATATATGTATATCTCCATATATATAGAACATAAGATATATATATATAATATATTATATAAGCTAACTAAACATACTCAAATTATTTTACTAGGAGTATATTATATTGCTTATTATATATTAATTATTTCTCTTAGATAAAATATATAAATAAGTATATATTATATATATAGGCTCCAAGGAGGACACGTGTAGTACTCGGGACGATCATCTCTATTCAAAATAGACGGATATATAGGCTCCAAGGAGGACTCAGTAGTAATCAAGACGATCATCTCCATTCAAAATAGATAGGCAAGATCGGCCTTGAGATCCAAATGGTCCACCCAAAAATCAAAGCACCACACTCTTTACTCCGCACCCCTCCGCTCGAAAATCAAAGTGACTGTGATGCATGACTTCTTATAACGTCATCACGTCATTTGAAATAGCGATGCTTCACCTGCTCAATAAAGGCATCTTGGAACTCATCAAATGACGTCTACTCAACTTATAGTCAACATAACCTAGTCAACACTATGAGCTGACAACAGGCGCGCTCGAGTAGAGACGCAATATTAGCTCTCCCCGAAGCCAAGTGGCCAACCTTTCAAGGAATCGACTCGAATAGTGAAGGCACTTATCCTCTAAGAAATTTGAGTACCACTCTTTTAAGAAATTGTCGGCTCGGCCAAACAAAACTTAGGCAACTATCCATCAAAATTCAAAAGCAAGGTGACGTCTACTTAAGTTCAAGACACCTTCCTAATAAGAGACAAGTTCTATCGACTCAAACAGTTAGGCTTATAGACCCCCAAAATGGAGTTCATTTATCCTAAAAAATTCAAAATATGATCACACAACGTAAAGGAATTGATTCAAGGCAAAACATTTTATATTTTATTCATATATGATGGAATGTTTACAAGCTTGCATATACAAAAGTACATTAATTGTTAGACCCTAGGGGGGTGAATAGGGTCAATGCTAATCTAATTCCAATTTTATGCCAATTAAAAAAACTTTTTTGATTAATTAATTCTTGCAAAAGATATATGAATAAGTTATGAGCAAGAATGTAAATTACAAGTACAAAATAAATATACACATAGCAAACTCAAACACAAGATATGATCATGGAGTTCAGTCAACCCTTGACCTACGTCTCCGCTCGTCACCTATATCGACACACCCAGTTTCGAAGTCGGAACTTCTCTACACACTTAATTTTTTAGTTCACCGAAAGCTCTACAAGTCACTCACAATGTACATACACAAACTACAACCTCAAGTGTTAGTTCTCACGTATCACCTACCTCAAGTGCTCGGCTTTACTACCTCAAACTAGGCTTTACTACCGACGTCACTCCTCTTGGAATCGACTACGTACTCACCACACACTCCTCTCAGTGTAAATGTGTATTACAAAGTGATACTCACAAATGAATTTCAAATACTATAATTTGTTCTCTAATAATGAATGAGAACACAATGAAGCTCACTCTCACAATATCACTCACCACAACCCACAATATAGTGCCTAGAAGCTCAATAGGGATGTGTGTGAGATAAATGAGTACAAATAAAATCTAACTCAAAAAGAACTAGCAATAAAATAGATATGAAATTCAAGAATAAAGTGCTGGATAATTGAGTTAGGGAAACTTCTCTATAAACATAAAGAGTTGATGATGAAAGATTGAGTATGAATTCCTCAACCAATGATGTAAGCTCTTCTTTGTGAAAACCAAACACCAAACTTGAAACAAACTTAATCAAACTTTAAAACTCTTTTAAAACTTGTTTAAAACTTTCTTAGATTGTTGGAAATAGTTAATGTAAAGGAGTATTTATAGGCTTGAAGAAACCAGCCCAAGAATCAAAGAAAATGTCCAAAAACTCAACCAAAAACAGAATCTAGAAATAGTCGTTACTGTGTAACGATCGGATTTATAAATCGACTTAACAGTGTCACAAGATGACTTGGTATAAGTCTACTTTATAGTACACATGAGTCGACTTGCAGCAGAAAAACACCAAGTTAAAAAACAAGCCATAAGTCGACTTGCGAAATGACATAAGTCGACTTTCTATAAGTCGACTTGCTATGATATATAAGTGGGCTTGGTAGAGGCTAAATGCACTTTCTAGAGTAGTTCATAAGTCGACTTATGCAACATGATAAGTCAACTTATGAACATGCATAGGGACTGTGCATGTCCAAAAATTAATTTTTAAAGTTTATTTAAAAATAGCAAATAAATTCAGAAAAATATAAAACTTTTAAAAAAATTTATAAGCATGATAATAAACATGTTACAAAAATAATTTTTTAATTTACACTTCCTATTTATAAAATCTCATCATTTTATAAAAACACTCAAATACATTTTTGTATAAACACTTGATTTTTTATTTTTGACTTAAACAAAAGTTTTGAAACCTTAAAAAATAATTTTATAGACTTAGTAAAAGATGTATATAATGATTGCTAAGTCTATAAACCAAAAACACAATAATTTTTTAAAAACACCTATATTTTGATAAAGTCAATAAATATGTGTGTGTGTGTATAATTGAGCTTGAAGTATTAACACACAACTATAAACACCTAAACTAATTAATGTACCAAGCAATGATCTTCATGACGCTCGATCTTAGTAACATGGATGAAGCTTGATCTTGTATATGACTTGAATTGCTAATGGCTTCATACTATTATTTTCGCCAACCTCCATTTGATATGATCGTTATAGCACAATTTTCTAGGTTGTCTAAAAATAACTGCAGATAGCTAATCCCCATCAAACACCAACGATGAAAGTTATAATTTGACGGCTTTCATATCTTCAAGGAGCCAAGATGAAGATTATAAGATGGTGGTCTTTGCAACGCTTTAGCAAAAGAGACTACAAATTGACGGTCTCTTCAAATCAAGATGTAGAGCTTGCCTCTATGTCTCAGACTCAAAACACAGAGGTCCTCCCTACGTTAATTTACAACCTCAAAATGCAGAGGTCCTCCCTATGTTACAACCTCAAAACGCAGAGGTCATCCCTACATTACACCATCAAAACACAAAGGTCATCCTTGTGTTACAGCATTAAAACGCAGAGGTCATGCTCGTGTTTCAGAGTCAAAACACAGAGGTCATCCCTAGCGCTCCAATTAAAAATGCAGAGCTCATGGACTCAAAACACGAAGTTCATCTCTGCGTCCCAACTTCGCATTTCAGATTTACAATACTGTGCGAACACAACGTTTTCAGCCAAAAACAAGCCTAACTCTGCGTTTCAAGTCTAAAATGCACAGTTCGGACCCTGAAAACTCAAACTAGAGTTTGACTC